TGTCTGCCGCAGCATTTCTTTGAAGGGTGTCCTCGAAAAATTTACTTCAGTTTTACGATCCATCTTTACTAATAGCCAAGTCCAAGCTTAGGGCTGTTTTTCGCCCTAGTTCTTCAGGGTTGCCTTCTCTTTCCTTTTCTATTTAACTTTGTAATAGATTCTGATCATGGAAACAACCCTATCCTCGCGCGAGGCTAACGAAATCGATTTACTCCGTGGTGGTAGACTGGTGTACGTTGTCCATATTGTACTGCTAAATGGAGATTCGAGTTGATTGCAAGCGTTTCCGGATATTTTGAGTGCTAGTGTGGCGACGAAGCTCCAGTTAAGAATGATTTGTCGTTATCATACGCTCACCGTCTATAAGCGAGCAACTTTGCTGTCGTCCGCTTCAGTACCACGCCCAGCCTAGCGGGGCCTTATGTGGTTTGCCACTCCAAATCCCGGGACTTAGGTTACCGGTTTCCACAACGGAGCAGGACTATGGGGTTCGCTCCGTCTACTCTTCACCACACAAATGTGTGTAATGAAAAAAAATAACCGCAGTCATCTTGCTGCACGTATATCACCCTGTCAAACTGAACAGCACGACAACAGAATTAGCTCAAATATGCTGGCAAACTGATTTATCCGGACTTTTAACTCTACCTAAATGAACTTATGATATTTTATCCATTGGTTCATTTGTAGAGCATTTTTACATCGTTTTGAGGGCAAAGATTGGATTCCAGTCGTGATATTGTAAGATTCCCTTACAGTGAAATTGGTTGAGTTCTTGTTATTCGGATTATTAAGTCATCAGAGTCAAATCCACACATCTCTGTTGATTTCAGCAACCTGCTCGCTATCTCTCTCTCTCTCTCACTCCACTTTCGTATGCTCATGGCTATTTGCTTTTCATTCCCCAACAGCGTATAGCAAAGTCAATCAAGGACCTAGAAGAACGAGAACTCGATTTAAATGATCTGGAATCGTCGGAATCACCTTACGTTCAGTTAGACGTGCTCAAACGGAGATATCTGGATGTTTGGCGTCGGCTTTGTGAAGCACGAAAAGTGGCGCGTTCCTCTGGCCGTATATTACGTCGTCGTTTTGTCTACACAGGTCAGTTATACCATTCTTCTGCGTTATGCAGTACTCGGGACAAATTTTGTCCTGTCGTAAAACTATCATGTACAAATAACGTTACACTGTTTGACTTCGATTTACTCTGATAACCGGGTAATGACGAACCTGGACAAGCACGTTCGTACGATGTGATAAAATGCGTACCAGCGCACAGTGAAGAAGCTACAGGTCGTGTGTGCGTGTGGCGAAAACTCAGCCGACTCGGTGTAAGGCGGCATATGCCATAGTTAGAATCAGTTTGTTATGCTACCGGTAATTTCTTCATCTGGTACATCGCATCGTATAGTAAGAACTTTTAATCTTCAGTAATGCTCTTCATCATTTCCAGGATGATTCCGTCAAGAAATCTAGGGTGCACGTTAGACAAATATTTCACCAAGCATCCGGAGTACTGATGATTTGTTAGGCGGATCTTAGAGCCCGATATACAACTGGGTATTGTCCCGACGAAGTTATTTGAACAGTTCATCGCCAACGTATGACCAAACTGGATCATGTATGCAGCCAACTGGAATAACAGGTTCCATACGTTCATTGATTAAAACTTGTCTGCATTACGACGAGACTGCACCTTGACGTGGTTTGATGGCTTGCGTGCCTCTATGACCCTGCGAGCTATACTGGATGGCTCTTCACAGCCGCAGATCCAATCATGCCTGAAAGGTCAACGGGTAGAGGCCAGACGACGATCAGTCTCATAAAGCCAGCTGCTTGGGCACCTATTGGCTTCCATCTTCTATCCACACCCGCCCCTGGAGAGGTCACCTCAGCAAATAAACATGGTGAGGGGCAGTTTACCGGTCAAAAAGCCACGCTAGAGGGGCGTAGAAGCGGGGGAACCTGGTGCTTCCTCTCGACGGTGGGAGAAGTCCTCGCACTTCATTGGACAGCTACCGCCCGCCCAAGGTGGACAGCCCCCGGCCAACAAGGTGCTGTCTCGTCCATTTTCCGCTTGTCTCATTGGGCACGTGAAGCCAAGGGTCGATCCCGAACAGCGGACCGATAATCAACGCACCAGCGAACAACACAACTAATCGAAATTCAAAGACCTCGCGTGACAGGTCTCCAGAAGCTCCTACACGGGTGCTTCGTTCACGCTCCCGCGTTGGATTTACACCCCACTGCCCTATGGGTCAGACTTTTGAGTCGAGGGCTCCAGTAAGGGTTTCCAAAGAAAAACCCGTTGGTCGGTGTGTGTGCCCTAAATCTCAGGCACCCATTTGGAAAACCATTCTTCCCATCTGTCTAGTTCTTCCTCTCAATCCCGAATAATCCTAAACGCCTGATGTTTACAAGACCCATCTGATATCACTCAGCGTTTTACCAACAAGTCCAAAAAATCAGAAGTTACAGGATTTTTGAATCCGAAATTCCCTTTTTACTTAGCCCCGTTCAATGTCCGCACACTATCAGATCGGTCAACAAGCTGCCTTAGCTAGAACCCTTGAAACTTTCAATTTAGATGTATGTTGTATCTCCGAAACACGCATACAAGACCCCACTTCCATTATTTCCCTGCGTTCTCCTGATCCAACCTC